CGGGGATGCCAAAGAGGCCAGTAGCCTTGGCCGCCAGCGCCGGGGTCCCCTCGAAGCCGGGTGCGGGGATGTCCCACTTGGTAAGAGGCCTCGGCCGCTCGCTGAGCGGGATCGTGCCTTCCGGCGTGGGGCTCCGCTTGAGCGCCGGGCTGCTGTCCCTCGGCCCTGCGTTGCGCCAGTCGCCTCCGCCATCTGGGTCGCCGCCCCTCGGTCGTGACCGGTAGTAGTCGTCGTCGTCGTAGCGAGAGGAGCGGCTGCGTCCCGGGTAAGAGCCGCTATAGCCGTCGTCGCGGTCGCGCCGCGATCTCGAGGAGCGCGAGTAGTAGTCGTCGCCGCCTCCGCCCCCGTAGTACTCGTCTTCGCGCCGGGTGCTGTGCGAGAGAGGTGCGTTGGCCGAATGGCGAGATGAATTGGTGTCAGGGTGTCAGAGGTGGGGTGGCAGAAAGAGCTATCGGACGGACGCACGGTCACCGCCGGGGTCGGGCGGGGCACTACTCACCTGGACCTGCTGTCGTCAGGGTAGTCGCGGTCCCTCCTGGCCCTCCTGCGCTCGCGGTCCCGCTCGTAGTCGTCGCCCTCGTCGTAGTCTTCGCGCTTCCGCCTGCTGGACGAATGCCGCTCATCCTGACCCTGGTCGTCTCGGCCGGATCGTCGGCTGGATCGCTCGCGGTCGCGGTCACGATCACGATCACGATCGCGATCGCGATCATGAGAGTCCCTATCTCTGTGGCTGTCCCTGTCCCTGTCACGAATCCTCTCGCGATCCCGGTCGCTGCGGTCGCCGCGGTCGCGGTCGCGGTCTCTGGTGCTTGATGGGTGTCGGTCTCCGTCCCTCTGGCGCACCTCCCTCTCGATGCCCGAGAGGAAGTCGTTTGTGCTACGCTGAGCGTCGTCGTGGCCCGCTCGATCGCCCATGGCGGATAGAAGTGGGAGCGTGAGGTACCGGCGGTGTCGGAAGTGTCCAAATGCGGTTGCGCTGATGTGCTGCTAAGGGTGGACTTGTAGGCGCCAGATGCTGGCGTTGAGCGAGGGCCGGTCGGTGGGTGATGTAAGGTCTAGCTCGGTGGTAGACAGGCTGTCCCTGGGCGAACTGGTCGGGCGGAAGAGAGCGGGCTGTGCGCTGCTCAGGGTTGGGACGGAAGCGGAGACCGAGAGTGCGCGGTTGAATCGTGGCAGGAGCGATGAAAGACGTGGCACAGAGAGGGTTTGGACGCGCAACGCGAAAAGGGAAGCCGCCTTTGCTTCTCCACCCCCAGGGGCCAGCTCAGACTCAGCCGGACGAGTGAAGCATAGCAGGACGAGGTTGGCATCCATCGAGATCGGCATCCTGCTTGCCCGATGAATCGATCTCCGGAGCCGAGGGCCAGGTCGACGGCGGCCAGCAGGACATCAGGCCACCCATCCGAGGGCCGCCTCGACTTTCGGCGCGGGCCAGATGCCGTCCCAAAATGGGCTGATCTACGCTGCGCCGGACGCAGCCGGGCGGCGCCACCCTGCCTGCCTCTGCGCCCGGCCTCGCTGTCCACCGGCCCACCGTTGGGAGCCACCTCTGCAGCTTGCGGTGCAAGGCAGGCCAGGCCAAGCCAAGCCAGGCAGCGACATGGCCTGGCCTGAGCAGACGCCCCGCGGCCGCTCTCTCCCTAACCTGCGCACGTCCAGAGCCAGGGCTGGCTGGCTTCTCTAGATGCGGCCATCCAAGCTACAGATGACAGCTCGATACCATCGATGGAGCATGCCACGAATGGCTGGCCTCAAAGACGGAGCGCACCCGTCTTTCCGAGAGACAGCCCCGCACGACGTATGATCAACTCGACGCTCCAGGCCCTGGCGGTCTATCTCCTCTCCAAGCTCTATAGGTCGCACAGGTCGAGCGAGCATTCGCGGGTGGCGAGAGCTCTTCGCCGTTGTTGGCCGGTGCGCTCGCTCGCCGGGGCGTCGTCGTGCGTGTTGGGTTGGCAGGCCAGAGGTGTTGGAAACCCGCCTCGACTCACAGCAGCAGCAGCAGCAGCAGCAGCAGGCCCGGCCTGCAGGCGAGTCAAAAAGCTGGCGAGCCCGCAGCGAGAAGAAACCAAAAAAACCTGGCGGGCAGACAGGCGGGCAGCGCCCAGCACCGCTGCACGGCCAGCACAGGCCTCCTGCTGGTCGTTGTGGCACGCTGCTCTGTCCTGTGCCGTGCTCTGCTGCTGGTGCTGGTGCTGCTGCTGCCGCCGCCGCCGCCGCCTGTGCCCGCTCGGCCTCTTTCCTGTTTCTGGCATGACCACCGCGCCTCGCCTTGCTTGGGCTGCCAGGTGTGGCCTGAGGTCGGCTCGCCTGGACTGACCTGGCCCCCTGCCCTCGTCAGGCTTCCAAGCCCGCCGCCTGTCGACAAGCAAGAAGAAGTCGGCGTCGAGCCACCTGCCCGCCCAACGCTACACCGCTCGAGAGACACTACCGCTTCCTTCCCGACCTTCATCCCCCACGATACCCTGAATCCTTTCACCCCATCCCGCACTTGCCCTTCCGCTCCTTTGCTGCATCTGCCACCATGTCTGCCCGTCCCCAGAACGTCGGCATCAAGGCCATCGAAATCTACTTCCCCAAGAGAGTGAGTCGGCCGTCGTCGCCTCGTTCAGTCTGGTCATGCTGGGGCATTGGCGAGCTGCTGTCTCGACCAGGCTCGAGATCAACAGCCTTGGCGCTTCTTTGCCGAGATCCTTGTCGCCCATGTCGCCATCTGGACGGCCTGTCGAGCCAGATCGCTTCGAGCTGCTCAGATACAGCGGGCTGACGCCCCCCATCTCTTTCGAACCGCCCCGACCCGCATCGCCCGCAGTGCATCTCGGAGGACGACCTCGAGGACTTTGATGGCGCCCCCAAGGGAAAGTACACCATCGGCTTCGGCCAGAAGTTCATGGCCTTCACCGACGACCGCGAGGACATCAACTCGTTTGCCCTCTCCGGTGAGTAGACGCAGGGCGTACTCTTTTTGCTGCTCGTTGCTGCTCGTTGCTGCTCGTTGCTGCTCGTTGCTCGAGGGAGAGGCAGAGGGGCGGGGGGAAACGGCGGAGCGAGATCGATCGATCGAAGACGGGGCCGCTCTTGGAGCGCAGATGGGCAGCGACAAGGAGGGCGATGGCACAGGGACGGGGACACACAGCAAAGCGGCTCGTGGGCGATACGAGACGCACAGGCGCGGACGAAACTGGCAGGGCAGAGCTGGAGCGCTGTCACGAAAGGGAAAGCTGGAGCGTTGCGGGGGCAGCCTCGGCGGGGGCGAGGCGAGGCGCACTTTCGAGAACCGCAGGCTCCCTTCAATTTCTAGCGCCGTGGTGCTGATCCGCACTTGCTCCTCCTACCCGGACCCACGCTCCTTCTGCGACCGACGACAGTCGTCTCTGGCCTGCTCGAGAAGAACAACATCGACCCGCGCAGCATCGGCCGCATCGACGTGGGCACCGAGACCATCATTGACAAGTCCAAGTCGGTCAAGACGGTGCTGATGGACCTGTTTGCGCCGTCGGGCAACCACAACATCGAGGGCATCGACTCCAAGAATGCGTGCTACGGAGGCACTGCCGCCCTCTTCAACGCCGTCAACTGGGTCGAGAGCAGCTCGTGGGACGGCAGGGACGCCATCGTCGTCGCCGGCGACATTGCCATCTATGCCGAGGGCAGCGCTCGCCCCGTCGGCGGCGCTGGTGGTGTTGCGCTCCTCATCGGTCCCGACGCGCCCCTCGTCCTCGAGCCGGCCCACGGCACCCACATGGCCAACTTCTGGGACTTTTACAAGCCCAACCTCTCGTCCGAGTACCCCGAGGTCGACGGCCCCGAGACGATCCAGGCCTACCTCGGCTGCTTTGACCGGACCTACGACGCCTTCCGCCAGCGCGTCGCCAAGCTCAAGGCGGCGGCGGCGGCGGGAGGCAGCGCCAACGGCGCCAACGGCCACGCCGACGCCGCCGACGCTGCCGCGCTCGCCGCGACCAAGGTCGAGGACTTTGACTACGTCGTCTACCACTCTCCCTACTCGAAGCTGGTCCAGAAGGGCTTCGGGCGCCTGCTGTACAACGACTTTGCGGCGGACCCCAAGAACGAAAAGTACGCCTCGATCCCGGCCGAGTTTGCCGAGCTGGACCGCAAGTCGACGATCACCAACAAGGACGTCGAAAAGGCGTTTGGCGCGTACGGCAAGCAGCTGCAGCAGAAGATGCTCGAGCCGAGCATGGACACGGTCAGGCGGTGCGGCAACATGTATTCCGCCTCGGTGTACGGCGGCCTGGTGTCGCTGCTGAGCAACGTGTCGTCGCCGGAGATCCAGGGCAAGCGCATCCTGGTCTACTCGTTTGGGTCGGGCGCGGCGGCGTCGATGTTTGCCATCCGCGTGCGCGGCTCGACGGAGCAGATTGTCAAGACGACCGACCTCAAGGCGCGCCTCGACGCCATGCAGGTCGTGCCGTGCCAGACGTACGTCGACGCCCTCCAGACGCGCGAGGCCACCCACAACGCCGTCAGCTACGACCCCAAGGGCGACGTCGCCCACCTCTGGCCGGGCGCCTACTACCTCGAAAAGGTCGACCACATGTACCGCCGCTTCTACAAGCGCGTCCCCCTCGCCTGAAGGTCGGGCCAGGGTGGCGTTCCGTGGTTTACATCGACTCGGTCCTTTTCCCTTCGTTTGGGATGAGGTCGACCAGGCGGAATCGGACCCGCACCCGCACCCGCACTCGGATTTGGCGCTCTGTTGTCGCTCTTCTACCCTTGTCCTCTCTTTTCTGCCTCTTGTGTCCTGGGCCAAATACAAACTAGACTTTAATCAGCACATCCGCAGTGCTGCTGCGTCGAGTCGAGTGGAGCGCGCAGGCGGGCTGGCCGGTACGAGATGACGGTGAGACGATGTCGCTGAATTTCCACCACGGCGACAGAAGAGGCGGCGAGCGCTACATGAGCCAAGGGGAGGGGTGACCCAGATGGGGCCGCAGCTGGGCGGACCCACTTTGTTCTCCCTCGTTCGATGGCGTGACGAAGTCCAAGCGCCATCGAGAGGAACCACCACCACCATCCATCACGCCCCTCTTCGACACACAAGCAAACAAGCGCAGACATGCTCTCAAGGACACGCTCTAACGAGCAGAGCAAGAGCAGAGCACAAGCCACTGACGAATTTTTAACCCAGCTCCGTCCCTTCCAATCTTACGATGCCGACCTCGGGACGAGGCCGTGTCGACATCTGGCCCGTCGAGGGTTTCGGCGGCTGACTATAGGGCCCACTCCTCCTCTTCGCCCTTTGCCACAAACGGCCTGGCGATATCCCCGACGGCGGCAGAGCAGAGGGGGCACTCGGCCGCAATGAGGCCATCGAGCTGCGCCATGAGGCTCGACCGCGTCTCCTCTTCCTCTTTCCTCGTCGCCGTCGTCATCGTCGTCGTCGTCGTCGTTGTCAGGGCAGCGCCGGCGCCGGCGGCGGGGATAGAGGACGACGACGGGTGGATCAGAGACTGTCGTGGCGTCACCCACGTCGAGGCGGCTGTGGGCGTCGAAAATGGGTCCAGCGGCGCTAGGGCGCGTCGGCCGCCCGCCACGCCTGCCGAGACGCCCGTCGACAGCAGCGAGAGGATCGTCTCCGGCGACACAATGTCGCGCAGCTTGTCCAGACCCAGGCTTCTTGATGGTCCCCCGCTGCCGCCGCCGCCGTTGCCGTTGCCGCCACCACCACCACCGCCGTTGGCGGACCTGCTGTTAGCAGCTGCGCCCCCTCCGCTGGCAAGGTTGGCCTGCAGATCGACGAGCCGCCGCAGCTTGGCGCCGCCCATGCCCCTCGTCACGACGGCAACGAGGCAGTCGACGTGGAGCGCGTGGCGGCACGGGAAGATGTAAAACTGCCTCTCGACGGCCACGCGGCCGCACGACTCGCACCGCTGCTCGGCCTCGACGCTGACAAAGCGCGACGAGAGCGCCGCAATGTCGGCCGAGATGGCCGCCGCCGAGCGCGACGCCTCCTCCATCTCGTCCTTGAGCGTCTCGATGTGCGAGGCGTACGACTCGAGCGCCGAGCAGATGGCCGCCTTGCAGTCGTCGATGATGACAAAGTCGGGGAAAAAGGGCAGCGCGTCCTCGAGCGTGATCTGGTCGGTCCGTTCCAGGAACTCCATCGCGCTGCAAAGAGGGTGAGGAAGCAAGCCGTCCGGAAGGGGAAGCGATAAAGGTAGGCGGTAGGCGGTCTCGTCAGCATGCGTCGTCCCACTGCTATAGCCGCCCCGATGCCTAGCGGCGACGGCTTCTCGCGCTCACCTCTTGATGTCCTTGGTGCTCCTCACCACCTCCTTGGCAATCTTGAGCCAGAGCTTCTTCTTGAGGTCCTTGTCGCCATCCACCAGGTCAGCGCACGAGCAGGCGAGCTCCATCTCGCGCTCGGCAATGGCCAGGTCGACGGCACTCTCGTACAGGCCCATCTTGGCGTAGATGCGCACGCACGCCTCCTTTTGCCCGTGCGCCGAGCACGTCCGCAGCGCGTAGTCGAGGTCAAAGTAGGGCTGGCCGGTCAGCGGGTTGGAACGCGCCGAGTCGATGAAGCCCAGCAGGGCCGCCTTGTCAGGGCTCTGCTCGCCGGCATCGCCTCGAGTGCCGTCGCCATCGCCATTGGCCACCTTGCCACGCCCTTCGAAGGCGGCCGATCGTGCGAGCAGCGTCAGGAGCAGATTGTGGATCGCCGTGTCCGTGTTGCCGTCGACGGAAACGACGTGGGTCAGGTAGGCGATGGCGTAGTCCTTGTCGTCTTCACCGCCCTCGCCGGCCCCCGCCTCGGTCTCGGCCTTGCCCCTGCCGCGACGGCGATGCTGCAGCAGCGCCGGGATGAGCCTCCTGGGGTCGAGTCCGCGCCTCGCCTTCCAGCACTCGACCACCTGCCTCGGCGCCTGGCGCATCAGCACGGTGGCGAAGCGGTAGTAGAGGTCGTCGCTGCTCTGCCTCTGGAGCGTGTCGATGGCGGCGGTCCAGGCCTCCTCCTGGACGTGGTGGCGGACGATGCGGTCGAAATCGCCAATGAGGCCGGCGTAGTGGAGCAGCACCTCGCTGCGGCCGTGCTTCTGGATGATGCCGTAGGTCGTGGCCGGGTGCAGCGCGTCGCGGTAGGTGGCGAGGAACTGGTGCAGCTCCTCGGCCAGCATCTCGCGCTCGAGGCGGTAATTTTCCACGTCCTGGCTGGCCGCCTCGGCCGCCGCCACGTCCTCGAGCTGGTTGATCTTGCCCAGGTAGATTTCGACGAGCCAGGTGGCGAGCATCGTCCGCTGCGGGCCGTCGGAGCGCCGCAACCGCTCGAGGCGCATGACGAGGTAGTAGCGCAGCGCGTCGCGCTGGCCGGACTCGACAAAGCGCAGCGAGACCTCCTCAAAGGAGCGCATAAACGTCTGGGCGTAGCACTGGGCCGCCTGAATGTAGCGGGCCTCGGCAAAGAAGCGGTCGCCCTGCGACGAGAGGACGGTGCCGCGCTGCACGCCGGCCTTGGCGTAGCGCAGCGCCGCGTCGAACGAACCGCGCTCGAGGTAGATGCGCCAGACGTCGCGCGACTCGTCGCGGACGACGAGCTCAAAGATGCTGGCGTCGGTGTACACCCAAAAGGTGCGCTTGGCCACGTCGACGGCGGTACCGATGACGCGCTCGTCTGGGCGCAGCGGCAGCGCCTCTTCAAAGATGACCTGGTCGTCGAGCGAGCTGATGGCCATGACGCGATCCTGGTAGAGGAGGACAAAGTGGAACTCGGTCAGGGCGATGCTGAGCGGGATCTCGGCGACGGTCTGCTGCCCGGCGCCGGCGCCGGCGCCGTTGCCGTTGCCTGTGCCAGTGCCGTTGCCGCCGCCGCCACCGCCGCCTCTACCGGAATGGTCGACGTCGAGAGCAATGGCCGGGTAGGGGAGGAGGTTGGCGCTGTCGATGACGCTGTCGCCGACGCCCTGGTCGTTGTAGGCTATCAGGCCGTGGTAGACGCCGGGCCCGGTGAGCCAGGCGAGCGCCGATGCCTCGCGGCTGCCGCTGGCCGTCCAGGTGTGGAGCTCCGAGTAGGGCAGGTCGCCGGGCAGCTCCGACTTTAGGTTGGGCACGGCGTCGCCGCGGTAGGGCTCAAAGAGCTTCTCGTAGAGGCTCTCGCTCTCGCTTTCGTCGCCCTTGAGCTTGCCCAGCTGGCCGACGAACTCGTAGATGCGCGTGCTCGTCGTGGCAATGACGACGGCCCTCTGCGCTGAGCCGCCGCCGCCGCGGCGCTTGCCCGCCGGCGGTGGTGGTCCCGCGCTGCCGTTGTTGTTGTTGTTGTTGTTGCCGTTGCCCTGCGCGGATCGAGGAAAGGGTTCTGCCGTGAGGCCGGTGACGGGCTGGCGCTCGGGGAGGGTAAATACATGACGGACGACCTTGTCGATGTCGCCCCTGTCGCCGCCGCCGCCGGCAGTCCTGCGGGCGAGCTTGTCGAAAAAGTCGCCCTCGTCTGGGTCTGCGCCGACGGGGGCCGATATGACGACTTCGAGGATGTCGCCGGACCGAGTGCCGACGAGGATCTCGCGCGTCGATGCGAGGGCGCCCGAGGCTGCGCCGCCCCTCTTGCGAGCGCCTTGGCCGGAGGCCGCCGCTGGTGCGACGGGGTCGAGGGTGGACTTGTTCCAGGCCACGCTCTCGATGAGGACGCCCTTGAGCTTGTTGAGCAGCCGGGCCTTTCTCCAGCCCGTCGCCCAGTAGTAGCAGTCTCCGTTGCGCATGGTGAGGATGAGGTGGGTGCCGGAAGGATCGGCGAACATCTTGTGCGGGCCGATGGTGGTGGGGTCCTGGGGCTGCTGGTTGCGTGCAGCGCGCGGTGCGGGCGGGATGGGAACGTCTGCCTCTTGGGTGCGCTCTGGGTCGTCGAGGTTGATGCGCACGAGGCGCGGTGGCGCCGAGGGGAAGGGGTTGGTGGCCGGCGCGGCGCCGAGGTTGTGATGGGAAGAGGATGACGACGACGGGTAGGCGAAGAGGCACATTGTGAGGATGTTTGATGCGACGGTCATGAGAGCGAGGGGCGCGTTGAAGGCGTACTGTACGCGGCCGAGCTGGAAGATGGGCGACTGGGACGACGAGGGGTCGAGGTCGCTCGAGATGAATCCGGTCTCGAGGGCGGCTACGGGGTCGAGGATGGCGTTTGTTGCGAGGTAGCGGTTTGGCATGTGGGGCTGTTGTTGCTCGTAGCCGCCGCCGTCGTCGGCGAGGGCGTCGTAGTGGAGGCGGTGGGCGGCGCTGCCATGGAGGCGGGCCGATGGCGATGTCGGGCGCGGGCCATTGCGAGGGAAGACGTGGTCTACATCCGTTGCGCCGGCAGATGGGCGTGTGCGGAGCTGTGCCGAGGACGACGACGAGGCGGATGGTTGCGCATTGCTGCTGTGGACAAAGTCGTCGAACATGTGGCCGGGCAGGCCGGCGTTGCGGCGGCCGATAGGGATACGGGAAGCGGGCGAGCCTCGAGCTCGATGGGACGATACGGAGCGAGGCAGGGGACCGACGTAGGAAGAAGAGGATGAAGAACGAGTGACGGCAGAGAGAGCAAGAGTGTTGGAAAGAGCGAAGAAAGGCAGCCAACGCGGCCGCGGGGGCGAGTGAAGGTGGAGGCGCGGGGGGGTCCACGCCGCACAGGGCGCAGCGGTGAGGCGCGGATGGGCCACCCGATGGGCCTCGCTCGACGCTTGCCCTCAGCGCACGTCCTCGTCGGTACCGAAGCCCACCGCCAGCCCGCCCGCGTTGGACCCTAGCCTGGTCTGCCCGCCCGCCAAGCCTTTGCCCTGGCCCCACGGCCTACATGTGGAGGAACAGGCAGGGCGGCTCGTCTGCGGTTGGGCCGGTCGATCAGGCAGGCCAGACGAGAGACCCACACCCAACCGGCGGTCCGCCGCGCCCCTCGACGCCAATCTCAAACGGGAAGGACCCCGAGGCAGCCCAACGGCGGCCAGCAACTTCTACCCGCTCGTCGTCCATCCCGTCCCTCCCGCCCTCGTCCATTGCTCATAAAGGTGAGCACCTCGTCCGTCGTCGCTGCCTCGACACCACCACCCGCCACTCCTCGCTGCCGCTCACATCCGCACACCCACGCTCTTTTTACCCTCCCCCTCCCCTCCTCGCGCGCATCGCACACCCACGCTCCTTTGACCCTTTGCCTCGTCGTCTCGCCATCTCTCCGTCTTGTCGTCTCGCCATCTCTCCATCTCGCCTTCCTTGGCCATCTCTCCGCCTCGCCGTGCTTGGCCATCTCTCCGTCTCGCCGTGTATCTCGCCCCGTCCCCTGTCCCCTGTCCCCTTCCCCTTTGCAAGCGCAGGCCCGCACCGCAACCATGGACAGCCTCTTTTCCCTCTTGACGCTGCGCACGGGCATCCTCGACTTTCCCCGCCACTCGGGCTGGCCCGAGACAGGTGCGTCGGCGCCCGACCGGTCTCGTTGCCCACTTTGCCGTCGGCTGCGCCAGACGACGGAACTCACCCGCCCTGACTCTTCGCTCCCCGCTCCCTGCTCCCCGCTCCCCGCTCCCCGCTCCTTGCTCCCCATTCCCACTCTCCTGTGCCCACAGGCCCCGCTGGCTCGTCTTCAATCTTCTCTTTCGCCCTGCGCGCAGCCGCCTCGGCATCGGCCTCGGCATCGCCCGCGCTCGCCTCCAATACCAAGCTGGGCGACGTCGCACCCGCCTCCAACACCACGGGCCTCCCCACGCCCACCGTAGACTCCAACGAGCCCCTGCTCAAACCCACCTCGGAGCAAGACGTCGGCCTGCTCCGCTACAGCGCCTACCTCGCCCGCATAAAGACCCTCACCCTCCGCTCCACCCGCTACCTCGCCTACACCTCCGAGGTCGGCGAGGCCTTCCGCCCGCTCACCCGGCCCGAAGTCGTCCGCGCCGCCTACGCCATCTCGTGGCTCTACATCATCTACGACGTCTCGGCCGCCGGCTACCGCGCCGCAAAGATCCAAGAGGCCGCCACCCCGGGCGACGGCCTGGTAGAGACGGCAGAGAAAAAGGCCATCGACGCAGCCGCCTCCCTCGGCATCGACCGGTCCACCCTCGACCGCCTCAACGACGCGCAGAAGGTCGAGCTCAAGAAGCGCGCAGACGCCGCCCTCGCATCGTCGGCACCCCACCACAGCGAGGGGACCAACGTCGCCCTCATCATGGCGCGCAGGGCCGTCTTCCAGAGCATCGCCAGCATGGCCCTACCCGCATTCACCATCCACTCAATCGTAAAGTACTCGGCGCCCCTCTTTGCAAAGGCGTCCAACCTCCGCATCCGCGCAATGGGTCCCACCATTGCAGGTCTCGCATTCGTACCCGCACTGCCCTTCCTCTTTGACCACCCCGTCGAACACGCCGTCGACCTCGCCTTTGACTGGGCACAAGAGGCGGTCCTCGGCGGCGGCGGCGGCGGCGCAAAGGAAAAGACCCAGTAGCGCAGGGGCACAGGAGGTCGATCGACAGCGTACCGTGCTCGGGTCGACGGTCGAACCAGGTTCTGATTATAGAGGAGCTCCTCGACGCGCGGCCGTTGCAGCCAGTCGTGGTCATGGACAATGCCTACACGCGTGTTGCTTTGCCAAACCACCGGTCTGGCCGTCAGTCGTGCCGCCCATCTGTCCGTGTGTCTGCTTGTCGCCCCGTTGGCTCGTCGATCGGCTGCTCCATCGCTCGATCCGTCGACCCGCGACCCCATCGCTTGGCCGCTTCGTCGCTCACCCGTCTCGCGGCTCAGAAGGCTCAGCACTCGCCCGCTTGCTTGGTGGCTCGCTCGCCGGCTCAGCAGCACACACAGACATGTCAGGATGCTCATTGCGGGGTGACGCCGACAGAGGCGGGCCTGACGCCCGCGCCAATGACATTCGGGAAGAGAGGCGAGGCGAGGCGAGGCTGGACAGCGGTGGCTAGCCCAGCGCCCGCACCATAACAGAAGGGTGACGTTTCAAGGCGAAGGTGGGTCGAGGGTGACGGGATCGGTGACGAGGGATGCGATGCGATGCGATGCGATGCGATGCGATGCGATGCGATGCGATGCGATGCGATGCGATGCGATACGATGCAACAAGGGGTGACGGAACGGCGACAGTGGAGGCGATGCAGGACGGGACATGGAACGAGCCGGCGCGGACTCGAGGCTCCCTCAGACGGGCGTCAAGGGAGATCCTCGGCCGCTTGCCGGCGAAGAGCAGGGAAGGTTGGATGGGCGGACGTCAAGATGACTGGTGGAGCGTGCTGTCGCGGCGATCAGAGGACACGGGCTGCGGCCCACGATAGCGGCGGGAGAGAGCGCTCGTGCCATGCCGCTCTTGCTGTCAGACGCCCTAGAACAGCGGCCGCCACTTGGGCAGTACGCGCCATTCGGGCAGCCATCGCCGCCGCTCACTTCTGACCGCTGCCAGGAGGAGTGTAACGGGCGAAGCCGCGGCCGTTGTTGTAGTAGCTGCAAGAGAGGGCGGCGGGAAGAGAAGAGAGCAAGAAGGGCGACGAGAAGAGAGCAAGAGGGAAGCAAGTCAACGGCGCCGTCGCAAACGTCACAGTCTGCCGCACTGCGCCCTGACCCGCAGCGGCGCCCGACACGGAGAGCCAGGGAGCACTCGAACGTCGAAGCTGGCGCACTTACGTCGAGCCGTCGGGGTTCGAGTAGTAGTAGCTGCCATCGGCTGTCGACGCACCGTGACGGGACGAGGGCAAAGGGGCAACAGTGTCGAGCGATCAGCCGTCGATGCTTGATCCTTGCACGCGCGCCGCAGCCATGAACCCCCGGCCAGGCGACAGGGGGGCGCATTGAGGCGAGACTCACCGTTGCTGTAGTGGTAGCTGTTCTGGTTGGGGGCGTCTGGGCCGTAGTCACGGCGGCAGTAGTGGTCGCCCTGTGATAGCACATAGCGGGGAGACGGGACGGCAGAGGTGGCGAGGAGGTGGGTCAGTTGATCTGCCGCTACTCTGGCGAGCGATGAAGATTGCTGCCGCCGCATAGAAGCGGCAACGGGCGCCGCTGCGATCGGACCGCGGGCTCACCTGGCTGTTGACGCCGGACGAGACGTAGGTGAAGTCGCGACCGCGGTAGCCGCTGCCGCTGCCCCAAGACGACCGCGACGACGAGCTCGAGGACGAGGGCGAGTCCGAGGCCGAGGACCACGACGACTGCTGGGACTGGGTGCACATGGTTGCTGGTGTGGCGTGACGAGGATCGAGCGAAAGGTCGAGACGCTTGAGCTGGCTGTGAATGAGCGCAGGAGCGAGACGAGTTTGAGCTGGATGTGGCGGCGCAGCAGGATGGGGGAGGGAGGAAGCACCCGCCCGAGCGTCGAGCGCCTGCCTTATGTACCATGGGCCCGTCTCTGGCGAGCTGAGCAGAGCAGAGCAGCCCGAGCAAGACCTACCAGACTACGCCCCGTCAGCCATTCTCTGCCGTGCGGCCTGGCTGCACGCCGTCCCGCCGCCCCTCGCCATAGCTAGACTCTGGCCACCCGCGCCGCCATGCTGGTTCGGCCTGGCCGACCCACTCCTCTGCAGGCGCACCGCCGCCGACCCCTGCCGAGCCGGCCACCGCCTTCTCTTGCCCACCCGCTCGTGCAGGCAGAGGCGGAGCTGCACGGCCCCGCAAGTCGCCCCTACGGCTGTCTGATACCGCGTAGCACGGCGCAGCACGGCGCAGCGGCTGATCCGGTGCAGCGTCGGGCATGCCCGTGCGCACCGCTGGCCCGGGACCAGGCGCCGCTGCTCCCGGCCCTACCTGCACAACCCGACACTTGCAGCCAGCTGAAATTTTGCTCGCAGCTCAAATTCATTTGAAATTTTAATATTAGCGGCCCACCTCCCCTTGGTATATCTGACTGGGTTGATATAGCTCCAAAAAGAAGTGCACACTTACAGCCATGCTAGGATCAGCAAGTAAGAAGCCATTGTAACCCTTGCTCAGGGAAGGAGGAGGGTGGGGTGGGGGAGGAAGAGGGCAACAACCACTCAGCACCCTTCACCACCGTGACCCTAGCCCTAACCCTGCCTAGTCCAAAGGGCGATCCATTAACCCTAACCCCAAAAAACCGCAATGGGACAACCCTTGTCACCCTAACCCTAACCCTTACCCCAACCCTCCATCCCAGGCATAGCCCCCAAACAGCCCTCACCCTAACACATGCTCAATCCTGACACGTCCCTAACCCGTCGCTCCGCTTTCCAAAAGGCTCCCCAAGTCGCTTGGCTGCCGCGTTGCTCGTCTCTGCTGGCCGGTGTGGACCCTGACGGGCCGCTGCTGGCCTGCTAGATGCGCTGAGCGGGCCCTGGTAATTCCAAAAGGGAATACAAATTTAGACTTTTAGCCAAGCTGGTGGACCCTGTGACTACAACTTGGAGACACACGCGACTACACCTGGACACCACCCATTACAGTCCAAGGCATACGTGCAACTACAACGGGGGACACAGGCAACTACAGTTGGTCTATGTGCAACTACAAGCCAGGACACGGCCAACTACAGCCTGTGAGACGACTACATCCGCTGATCACCCCTCACCACCAACACGTCCACGCCAACCATTGCCGTCACAGCCATCCAGCCGCCTGCTGCAGCACCACCTGGTCCATTCTCCCCGCCGTCACCTCCATCATGAGCCAGGTCGCCTGCCCAGTCTGCCAGTTTGCCATTGCACGCAGCAACATCACTGCACACATCCGCCGACAGCATGCTGGTGTGCCTGTCAGCCCAGACATAGCTAGCAGCAGGGGGGATCTGGCTTCTGGGCCGTAGCGGTACTACGGTTCGGAAAATTCCCGATCGTCACCCGATCTACGATCCAACCCTGGTTGCAGATCGGCTGCGCGCCCAAAATCGGGTCGGCGCTACGCTTCCGCCAGCGTAGCGGCCCTACAATTCTGCTACGCTTCGGAGCGTAGCAGCCTGCCCGCCGATGCCGCAGCGTAGGGCCGCTACGCTTCAGAGGCCCACCAGATGTCCCGTTGCTGGCAACTGTAGGCCTGCTACGCTGTCAGAAGCGCAGCGCAAACGATGCTGCTGAGCAGCGTAGGCTGCCTGCGGCTGCCAGCATCCTGGACTGTAGCAGCGCTCCGACGCTTTCCACCCTCAGTATGACTTGCTTGTTTCCTTCATTTGCTGGCCGATACCTTTGCATTGCAATCTGAACTAGCTACTCTATCTACGGCAGTCTTGCGAGCGGTGGCAGTGGTGCAGATGTTGGCGGGGTGAGCCCGAGCTGGCAGGCATTGATACGGAGCGAAGCACAAGTTGAGGCGGGCGAGGGCGGCAGTCAAGGTCTGGGAGGCGCTCTTGGGTTACAAGGTGTCTTGAGAAATAAACCAAGTAGGGCTGCATAATGAAACTTGTTCAAAAGTCATTTCTGAACAACTTTTGAATAGTAGCCCTACTCAGTTTAGACTGCCAGGGTT